GTACATAGAAAAAGTCTTAGATCTTTGAGTTCAGCTCATGAAAAATGGGGGCAAAAACATAAGTGTTGCGTTTATAATTTTGTTCAGTATATATATATATATATATATATTTTATCACTTTTATTTATTTATTTTATTTAACATTAACCACAATAATTTGAACATAAACAAAATGTAATTAATTAATTTAAAATATTTGTAGCAATGGCAACGTAAGAGATGACAGTAGTTGTTTCAGTCTCCAGTAATGATTGTCTCCTTTTTGTAATATCGTGTTCTGTGTAAACAATAAGTTGAATCAAGCAGCCCGTCTGTCACCTAAATGAATCTTTGTTCAGTTGATGTGTTGTTTACAAATTTGAGAGGATGGTACAAGTGAGAAAAAGTGTGTGTACTATTAAGAAAAAAAAACAATGCATCCAATTAGGAGAGTGTCTCTGATAGCTGAAAACACAGGGCTAGCATGTGGGGTGGTGGACATCACCCAGTACTTTTCATTAAGCCATACACAGCTCGATGACTTCAATAGCAGGCCACAAAATTACTACACAACAAATAAGCGAGGATGATGCACGGCATGCTGGGAGTTTGGAGTTGAAATGTTTGCCTTAATGAGCTTAAGAGAATGTCTTCCTCCCTTTGAGTCGCGCCCGAGGCCGTGGTCTTAACTTTGGCTGTCTCCCAGGGCATCCCCTCTCCGTCTGCGGTTTACGCCGTTCACCTGAAAGCCTCTCGCAGTGTCATGAAGAAACAGCAACGAGATGAAGGAAAAACACTGTGGTTGTGAAAGACTTTGTGCTGTCCTGGGTTCAAATTAATGAGGGTTGAACGCTCTTGAGATAAATTTAGGTTTTCATATTTAATTATAGCCTTCTGCAGTGGTTGAGTGCGGATAAATCACACGATTATTGTGCTTCAGGGTTGTTTATAGCATTCTTTATGGCTTTTATTTTTGACTCATGAGTTGATATCTTTTCCTAATAGCAATGAGCAGTTGAAAGAGCAATAAGGCTTAATAGTTGGATCGTATGAAGTGCTCGGCTGGGAAATGACTGCCTCTGCTTTGAACCCGCGTCGCTCTTTCATGTAGGTAGCCTTGTCACTGCCTGTCTTTGAGCTTTTCACCTTCAGACTTGTTGCTTGACACGCGCTCTCTGTGTCTGAAGAAATCAGATGAGCGAAAGATTAACATCTTTTGATCAGCTATCGCGCTGACATCCACTCTGACACTAAATGAATGTTTTATTTTGTATATGTGACGAAAAACGATATTCAAATGCACAGTCTAACTCGCTTGCCAAGAAATGTCATCTGGTGGCTTCACATGAACTGTAATGTGGCATATCTTTAGATCTGATTGTAGTTTGATCTGGAATGTGGTTGTGGGATGTGTGTTTCCCAGGTTTGGCATCAAGCGCTACAGGGATAGTTCATGTTAAAATGAACTTTCTGTCATCAGTTATTCACCCTCATGTCACATGATTTGCTTTATTCTTTGGAAAGCAAAAAATTATGCTTTGAAAAATGTATATATAATATATATATATAAATTAAATTAAACAAACAAACAAATAAATAAATGTTTATATTTATATATAAAGGAGTATAATAATATAATTTATCGATTTTATTTTATTTTATTATGTTTGTCAACTTTTTCAAAATGTATTTTTATTTCCAGTAGAATGTAAAGATTTACTTAATAAAAATGATACTTGGCAGATGAAACGATGTCTTAAAATCAGTTTTATATATTTATATATAACAAATTTTTTATTTTATTTTATTTTATTTTATTTTATTTTATTTTATTTTATTTTATTTTATTTTATTTTATTTTATTTTATTTTATTTTATTTTATTTTATTTTATTTTATTTTATTTTATTTTATGGGCTTGTCTTAGTTTGTTGGACTGTCAGTTAGTGGGAGCTATTTAGTTTTATCTCCAGTAAAATGTAAAGATTTACTTCATGAAAATGATACCTGGCAGATGTAACATTTCACCATTTATAGTATTTAATATTCCAGTATTTAATCAAAAGATTTCTCCATATTCATCCATGGAGGCTGGATTGGCCCTGAATATCTACTGACATAGAACCACCAAAATGTGTAGAAATCCTATGGGTTGCTGCCAAGACCTGGTTTTTCTAGCATGGTGAGAAATGGCTCGGAGAATCAAATAAGTGAAGATGTCCCGGTTCTCTTCGAGATGCTCACCGAGAGAGTGTGACATGGCCGAGATCATGTTTTCTGTCGACACACTCCCGCTGAATCCATCAACGGGAGAATCTTCCACCCACAATTCCGAGCGAGCCGGCAATCCCTGTTCGTCGCCATGGTAATGTCTTAAGCCTGAATGGCAAATGAATATTTTTGCAAATATATTGCATGATTTTACAGTACAGGGCCTTCAAAAGATACAAAAGTGGTAAACCAAGAACAATAATCTCTCAGAAATCATTCTGCGTGACCTACATCAGTTTTCATTTTACTTTTTATGCACAAGCGATTTCGACAACGTGCGCAGCTGCTTCGGGGGCCGTGGATGTAATATCGATCGTGCGTGCTTGCCAATAAGTTTTCTTTCTTTTAACATTAAAACATCGCCTCGCGCAAAACGCCACAAACCTGAAGTCTCACCTTCGCGTGGAATGAAAGCGGTTAAGCCCGGAGCAGATTAGACTCTAAACCGCTGTATGTTGACAGAAGGGATCTCATTAATTTTCAAGGATGAAAAAGAGTAGCCAGTCCTCAGAAGGGAGCAGCATGTGTCTTTAATGCCTTTGTTTTGCTCTCCTGTGAGCGTGTGTACTTCTCTGATGGTCTAATGAGGGACACAGCGCTCATGCTTTGGCACACATGGCATCTGAAGCCCAGTGAATCAGTAATCACTAGTAAGCATAAATACCCATCTCCTTGGTGAGAGCTTCTTAAAGGAGAACACATGGCACTGCGTGAAAGGAAGAGCGTGCTTCACAATTCAACGTAATTGAGTATGTCAGGAAATATAATTGGTTACCTCAAAGAAAACGCAACCAAATCACCAAATGATATCAGGCATCTGTTTTTGCAGAGCATAGAGTATAGCAAATGTCCAGAGAAGAACATGGACCACAAAGAATCCCATCATTTGTTTTTTAATATATTTAACATAATTCCTTCATTGAATTGCTAGAACCAGTGTTATTTTAATATTATTTATATAGAAGTATATATACTGTATACTATTATTATTTATATTATATGCTACTATAATATTTATTAATATTTTTTTAATTATTATAATAATTATAATTAATTTATTTATACAGTTATATTTAATATTATAATTAATAGTAATAATTATTAAATTTAATTTTAATATTTTGAATTAATTCAATTAGGCTTAAGGTAGATGCCAAGGTAGATTTTTTTTTTAGGTTTTCATCTAATATATATATATGTTTAGTTAACAACAACAACACTTACTTATTATTATTTACACTGTATACTATTATAGTATTTATTAATATTTTATTAGTAGTAGTAGTAGTAGTAGTATATTATACTTATTATATTATATATTATATTTTAATATAATTTAATATTTAATATAATATATAATATATTAATATATAATATAATATATAATAATTTCTAATATAATTTAATATTATATTATTCCAGCATTATTTCAAATACTATTTTAAAAAAGTACAATAACAATAACAACACTGGCTAAAATGTTAGTGTGTGCAATTCATTCTGTTTGTTTCTTGTTCCCCAATAGTGTCTACCCAGTTTTGGCCCGTACCAGCAGGAAAAGAAGGAAGCGATTGCAAACCACATAAAGAAACTGAGAGACTTCAGTGACGACACTGTTTTCAGCAAAGGAACGAGAGTTTACGCTCCCAAGGGTCCTGTGCCAAGAGTTAAAGTGGGTTTACTTATATTATTCACTTGCTTACATATCGTTAAAGCTCAGAAACTATTTTTCTCCTCAAGACTTTTGACCTTTGGTCTGAAGTTCCCATATGTTTGTGTTTTTACACTCAGGATGTGATAGCCAAAGCTCTGCAACAAATCGGCGCCTATCAAGAGCTCAACATTGAGGAGCAAGTGCAAGCTCTGATTGATCCGGAGATGTGCGTTAACTGCGGGAAGTGTTACATGACCTGTAACGACGCTGGATACCAGGTGTGTACCTCCCTCCGTCCGCCCACTGCCTGTTTGTTCCCACACAAACCCATAGCTCCTAGCCTCTGGCTGTTCAATTACAGCTCCTGGCCTCTCCAGGGCTCAAAGACTTCAGCTAGTCCTTTATAAACTGAGAAAGAACCATTTCCAGCTCTCAACGACCAGTGGTTTTCAGTTATAGCTAACAGAATATGGCTTACGTTAACAAAAACAATGAAAAATGTAGCCTAGCGGCAGAGGCGCCTTAGGATAACCAGAGGCCCCTGGGCTACAGCATTACAGTAGGCCCCGCGACCCCAGAAAACAACACTGTTCTGCGTAAAATGTGAATATAAGCGAATATGCAAATTCACTCTTTGCCACAAGGTGGCGCTTGTGGAACAGCAGAATTATATAGCCGTTACATAAAGTAAACACTACGTTATTACGGGCATTATGCGTGATATGAAAGAAAAATGCCATCAAAACTTTCCTGGCTGAAATGTGAGTTTACAGGTATGATTTAAACACCATAAATCACACAAAATATTAATTATTCATCATCAGTAGATCAAAACAACACGGCATGTTGGCATAAATGTGGGTTATTTGGTGATTGCTAACTGCGTTTTTATTTTGAAACATGACGTGCTCGTGTTTAATTAGTTAAATCACAGCGTATAAAGTTTAATGATCACATTTAAGCAATAGGACAATTCCTATTTTTCCATCCCCAGATTTAAAATTGAGACTTTGAAGCAGCACTATTTATGGAACACAGATGACACACAGATTACATCCAAGCAAGTTACTGAACTCTCATTGTATGACGTTACAGAATGTTGTCCGGTCCAGTTCCTTTCACACAGCAGTGTTGTGTTTTTGTTACTCTGCTTGTTGACATTAAGATACTCTCGTGCTGTGGTTATTTACTAGCGAATGCATTGTACATTCCGCTTACTGTATATCGATGGAACACGTGGAACATACCAACTATACAAACTGTGTGGGGGGAACCTAAACTTAGCCATTCACTATATAGGCCACTACAACCATGGCATCGCTAAAAATGAGTGTGTGCGTTTGTTTACAGAACGCTGTTGTCACTGCTGCAAACTCCCATATAAATAATTATTCAAAAAATATAATTTCCTTGCAGCCAGTGGGCCCCCTTTCCAGTGTAGGCCCCTGGGCTTCAGCCCCTTGAAGCCCGTGCATTAATGCGCCCCTGCCTAGCAGTTAGCATATATGCTTAGCATTCTGTAAGACTCCAAATACTGAAGTGAATACTAAAACCATTATACCAAATACTAAACTAAAACCAATATACCAATATTAATGGTTCTACCCTGACATACATGTGCATAAAAAGTGCCAAAAAAGCCAATTAAAATAAAAAACGAGTGCTGCTCTTACTGGCAGGCTAAAGACGTCTCATTAGCGCACCTGATTTTCCCTTTAGAGACTGTAATGAATATTAGCGCTCAAAACTGCGATGTCCCCTTGTGCCTCAGCCTGCAGAAGAACGGCAAGCAGGATGGCTCTGACAGTTTTATTAAAGTATTCATCTCACCCTCTCCTGTTAAATAAATGTCTCTTGCAATTTATCATAAGGGTATTGATGAAGTAGAGTGCGGGTTTTATCAAAGCAGTAATTGTTCACAGTGATGCTCATTGTCTGTGAGTGGATCTCTAAGAGGAATTACACATTATTAATGCTTTCTAATATAGAGGAGCATTCATCAACATAATGTGTCACGATCAAATAGGTGGCCCATCAAGCAATACAAAACAGCACTCTGTCGCGCTAGCGGCAATCCGGTTATGTTTGAAAAGGTGCCCGTACTCGATTCCACCTGCCAAAATAATGTCCAATCTTCCTGCTGTACATGCACAACATTTTACAGAATGTTTTAACAGTCTAATATAGCGTTTAGATTGATGGGTGTTCCTTCCTCTTCTCTGTAGTGTATTCACATAAAAAGTTATATGTTGCATAAAGGAAATGAAGCCTATTTTAGGCCCGTTTAAGATTTTTCATTTTCTGACATTTTTAAGACAACTACACAAATTTCCCCCTCGAATTCTTGATGATGTTGCAATAACTTTTGAGTTTGATGACAATGAAAGGTAATTTGTTTTAAATTTTCATTACAGTAATTCAGTATTTATTTCAGTAAAATAACAATTATATTAAAATGATAAAAATAATAATTACATTATTAATAATAATGATAATAATAATTATTATTATAAATTAATACAAATAATAATTATCGGTGATTGATTAATATGATGATTATTATTATTATTTTCTTGTTGTTAATTAGCATTTCTAAACCAGCTTAACATTTTAGCTTTGAGGTTTTAATTATTAATTATAATGAATTAATTATTTACATGTTCATCACTTGTAAGTTTGTTTCTTTATTACAGCAAAAATTATTATTTTAATAATAATTATAATAAATGTATTGTTGTTGTTGTTGTTGTTGTTATTATTGTTGTTGTTTTTCATTATTTATTAACCAGCTTAAAATTGTAGGTTTTTTTTAATTAAAATGAAATATAATTTGCTTTACATTTTCACTTTAATACAGTAATTTTGTACTTTATTACAGAAAAAAATTATTATTAATAATAATACATTTATTGTTGTTGTTGTTGTTGTTGTTCATTATTATTTCTAAACCGGCTTAAAATTTAAGTTTTTTTATTAAAGTGAAGAATAATTTGCTTTACATTTCATCACTTTAGTAGTGTTGTTGTTATTGTTGTTGTTTTTCATTATTTATTAACCAGCTTAAAATTTTTTTTTTTTTTTTATTAAAATGAAATATAATTTGCTTTACATTTTCACTTTAATACAGTAATTCTGTACTTTATTACAGAAAAAAATTATTAATAATAATAATACATTTATTGTTGTTGTTGTTGTTGTTGCTCATTATTATTTCTAAACCAGCATAAAATTTAAGTTTTTTTATTAAAGTGAAGAATAATTTGCTTACATTTTCACTTTAATACAGTAATTTTGTACTTTATTACAGAAAAAAATTATTATTAATAATAATACATTTATTGTTGTTGTTGTTGTTGTTGTTCATTATTATTTCTAAACCGGCTTAAAATTTAAGTTTTTTTATTAAAGTGAAGAATAATTTGCTTTACATTTCATCACTTTAGTAGAGTAACTTTGTACTTTATTACAGTAAAATAATGATTTTAATATTAGTAAATTATTATTAATAATATTTTTTAAACCAGCTTAAAATAAAACGCAGATACTACAAATGTTATCATGATGTATAAATACGATTTACATTTTAATAATTTTGTCATTTTTGTATTATATCATAAAATAATATAAGTATATAATTAAAATTAAAGCATTGAAAGGCAGATACTAAAAATACTGCCATTACATATAAATACCATTTAAATACGTCATTGGTTTTTTTTCTTCTTCTTTTTTGCATTACGATAATGAGAATTTGGGCCTAATTAAATTTAAAAAATGTCACAATACAAAACACCCCAAAATGGCAAATATCATTTATTTATTTTTATCATATTTTGATTTTGTGAAATGTGTGAAACATGAGCCACATGACATGTTCCTGACAGGTTTCACACATCTGTGTGCTCCGGTGGAGGGACAGCACACAGTCTTTGTTGTGTTTGTATTGTGCGACGTCTAGTCGTAGCCGGTTGTCGCCGCTGGTGAGGATATAATGATTCCAATGCCTCTGTGTCTGGCAGGCCATTGTGTTTGACCCCGAGACTCATCTCCCCACGATTCAGGACAGCTGCACCGGCTGTACCCTGTGCCTCAGCGTCTGCCCCATCATCGACTGCATCAAAATGGTTGCCAGGACAACGCCTTACGTGCCAAAGCGAGGCCTCCCTCAAGCCGTGGAGCCCGTGTGCTGAGAGAAAACCCCAGACAAAAAAAAAGTCTACATCACAGCATTGAATTTACTCGGTAATTGCAGTGTGAAGAATTAACTTTGTTGTAGAGGGGGGAAAGCAAATAATTAGATTAAAAAAATAATAATTGCCTTATTTTCAGGAGCCAATTATCCAGAAATAATCTTAGGGGGTGTTATTTTGAAACAATAGCGAGGCGATTTGTCGAGGTGAAGTTCCTGCCTCTCTTTCTCTGAGGGCTGATGGGAATGAATCTGGCTGTTTATGCAGATGTGGGAAGACCACGCATATCCTTTAACAAGAGCCACAATGATGGATCGTCCACTACATCCCGAACAGAATGCAATCACATATACAAGAGCTGCTGATGGGAAATGAGGAAATGAATGGATTTTAATTGAATGGTGGATGGTTGGGCTCGGAATCACACTCGACGTTGTTTTCCATAACGTATGATGATTAGAAAAGGTTTGTTTGAAGTTATACATGCTATATTGTATGCAAAAAGCCAGTATACTTCTACAACTAAACCTGAAGTAGTAGTTACCTAATTGACATGAATTGTATTTATTTCTCTCAAAGCCTTAATAACAAATATGGTTGATTTTGATTGCATTAGCCATCTGGACAGGGTCATTTAGAGAGCCGGTCTACATCAGTAATATGCTGAACATTTCGAGTAAAGGTCATCTATGACTATTTCCAGACATTAGAGATGAAGACTAGCTGTTATTCATCTTGGACCCAAAAGGTCAAGTCTGACCACCTCTATCTCTACAAATACACGGCCCATCCGTACCGCACATACAAGCCCCTAGCTTGCTGTCTATGAAGCAGACGATCAAACACAGTGATGGGCGGGGCAGGATAACTGTGCACTTGTCCTTAACAATGATGAATGAATCTCATGAAGAAATGTCTTGGTCATATCTCAGCCCAAAAACATACAAAATTGTAGCCCATTACATTAGAAAATTATTATTATTATTATTGAAAATTCTCATTACTATAATGTGGACATTTTTTTTACATTAAAATATTTCAGGTTATACTTTAGATTTTTTTCCGTCTCTCAGGTCATAATTTACCTCAAATATATATTGTAATTTATTAAAAGTAGCATAAATTAAATAAACAAACCATTAAATGTTATAACAACAAATACCACCAATATTTACAAATAATAATATATTTTAAAAATGATTTCATATTAATGAGAATTACGGGAGAAAAATATGCTTAATTGTCAAAAAAAAATATTTCAGGCCATACTTTACCCCAATAAATAAAAAAAAATAATAAAATATGCTTAACTGATGAAAAAAAAACATACTTTACCCCAATATATAAAATAAGTATATACATTATATATAAATTTTGTGTTACATTTTTTTTTTCATATTAAAGTTCTGAGAATTATGGGGAAAGTATGCTTAATTGACAATAATAATAATAATGTCGCAATGAAAAATATTTCAGGTTATACTTAAAAAAACATTTTTATATATTACCTCTATATACAGTATATATAATTTTGACTTAAAAATTATATTATAAATATCATTCAGATTCTTGTTTCATACAGCTGTAACACTAATTTACTGTAACAATAATTTACTTAGGCCTATCTCAAAGCCTACTTATAGTAATATGTACTTAACTGTAATTGCACACTTGTGGACTTGCATATTAATAAAAAGTCTTGTTGTCAATCTTATTTGATTAGCACTATTGACTATTGTAGCTGCGCGGCCAACTTATCAGGATTCACAGGCGGCCACAGAAATATTGTTTGAAGTGTTCAGGTGAATGGAATATTAAACAATTTGAGATTAAAATCTTCTTTGATTGATTGTACCTCCATTAATGTTAATGATGTTCTGAAAAACATTGCTCTTCTGGTCAGGTCACAGCTGTATCCACTCTGTGGCGGGCGAGGGTCACGCAGCTTGAACATGGCTAACCGTGAGGTTTTTGTCATGCATGTTTTCCCATTAGCTTTGGCTTTAATTTCAATCCATTGTCTAACGTCTGGATTTGAGCCAAGAGTCAGAGTAGAATTTAAATGATGATCCACTAGGCTGCTTTTCTAATATTCGAAAGACCCGTGCAGTGTCTGTGTGTATCAGTATACTGTATTTATATGCACTTTTTCCCAAAAATTCAATGTGTATGTTCAGTTCTCCATGACCATTTGACACTACGAATTAAAGGTATAGTTCAAATGAAAAGAAAACAGGCAAAATGTTAGCCTATTACATTACATAATAATTAACATTATTTTGACAATTACGCCCAAAATTGTGAAAAAAAGATTTTGTTACTAAAGCAGTGTCTCAAATAAACTTTATTAAAAGCAAATACTGTCAAAAAATAATACAAATGTTATTTACAAAAATGTTACATATTAATATATTTTTCTGTATTAAAATAATGAGAATTACAAGGAAAATATGCTTAATTGTCAAAAAAATTATTATAAAGTTGCAATGAAAAATATCAGCTCATACTTTACCCCAATAAATAAATATATAATACATATATTTTTATTCAGTTTTCCATGGCTGTTTGACCGTCTGACCCTTTAAATTGTTTAAATTGACCCAATTCTACCATTTACTCACTCTCATGTCATTCAAATCTGTATGATTTTCTTCTGCAGAACACAAAATTAGATTTTTTTTAAGAATGTTGGTTACCATTCCATTTTGGTAACCATTGACTTCCGTTGTGTGGACAAAACACACAATGCCATTTCTCAAAATATTGTATTTTATGTTCCACAGAAGAAAGAAAGTCATACAGGTTTGGAATGATGTGAAAGAGAGCAAATGATAACAGAATTTTAATTTTTGGGTGAACTATCCCTTTAAATAAGCTATTTCTGCTGCTGTACCTTTAAGACAATCTTAAGACTATATGCATGGTTTTCTCCAAAGACTAAAGAATTTTCCAAACAAAAAAAATTTTTGTCTGTTGTTCTACCTATCTATCTCTGTATTTTTAATCTATCTATCTATCTATCTATCTATCTATCTATATATATCTATCTAGGTTTGGAATGATGTGAAAGAGAGCAAATGATAACAGAATTTTAATTTTTGGGTGAACTATCCCTTTAAATAAGCTATTTCTGCTGCTGTACCTTTAAGACAATCTTAAGACTATATGCATGGGTTTGATTCCTATGAACTGATAAAATGCATACTTACAAACATAAATTTGCTTTGGTTGAAAGCATCTGTAAATTCAGCATTTTTGTACTTTCTGTCAGTGTACATTTTAGCAAGAATGAGGTCTGGTGTTACTCCGGGATCTTGTGCGACGGACTGAAACTTCAGTGGCGGACGTCATTTATCAGGACAGCTGTAATAAACAGAAACATTAGCTCAGAGCTTCGTATTTGTCCCCAACCATCGTTCGATACAATATCTCGCCTCTGTCTTCACTGAGCAGGAGGGTATGTGTGCTGAGAAATCGTTGTGTCTGACATTTGGAACTTCCAGGCTAAAGTGACAAATGAATTAGAGTTCCCAGCACCTTCTCTTTAATGAATGTGAGTGGCCCGCACCTCCCCTAGCTCTAAAAACAGCCACGTATCGTGTTGTCACAGAGAAAAAGAGCTGCCAGAGTCTGGAGCTACGTGGCCGTACCAACAGGACTTGAATGCTGAGGTTATGAAGACTCACCCATATTGTTGTCTGGGCTCTTTTCTGATAGTGAGCTTAGCCTAACAGCTGGTTTGGTGTGTTATTGTTGAAGCCGGTCGACTGTTCTGTGGCGTTTGCACGGCGCAGTCAGAACAGGAGTTTGACATGCATTGTGAAGCGTCTTTGTGGAGCCGTGCTCGTGCATGGAGGAGGAGGGGGGTGCGATCTGAGAGAAAGAATGCATTTCTAGCTATGCTTCAAAAGGACACGGTTCCCAGAACATGGTAGTAATGGAGGATCCACTGTACTGTGTAATAATCTATTTGATTTCGTGTGTGTGTGTGTGTGTACAGGTTTATATATCCTGGTGGGGACTTAAACCTGAATACACACAGACTCATGGGGACTCGTGTCACGGTGGGGACCTAAATTGTGGTCCCCACGGGTACAAAAGCTTATAAATCATACAGAATGAAGTTTTTTGAAAATCTAAAAATGCAGAAAGTTTCCTGTGAGGGGTAGGCTTAGGGGTAGGGTTGGTGTAGGGCAATAGAAAATACGGTCCTGTAATATGTAGAAATTTGTGAATAGCAGTAATTCAGTTACTGTTAAATTCTGTGGCCACAGAATCCATATGGGCCTGCTTATTAGTAAATGTTCAGTGTGCCCTCATATACGGACAGCTTTTCAATCATTTTACAATATACTTTGAAAATGAATTATATTTAATCATTTCTGTCAAACAACAGTTACTTAAATAGTGTGACATTGAAAACCTGATGTGTTACCTGTGCTTGTGCATGTTTCAGAAGTGTGTGTGTGTGTGTGTGTGTGTGTGTGTGTGTGTGTGTTTGACTAGTTATCTAAGTCCATTGGGTGGGTGTGTGTGTTTGAGGACACTCTGATACCAGAGCTTAACAGGTAAAGGTCACTGAGATGAGATGGAAATACCAGTGAACAGAGCCTAAGGAGGAAGGACAGGATGGTATTTGGTCCTGCTAATTCAGGACTTGATCTCATCATGTGTGTTTCAATGTGAACTTTGAGGGTCATACCGGTGAGTCTGAACAGAGGGCGCTACACAAATCCACTCACACAGACAGATGGACACAGCTAGACTAATTCATCATTCTGTTACACAGACCTGCAAAGTGTTGCAAGTTTTTAGCACTTTTCCTAAACTGCTACTTTAACATCTGGGTCCAGTGAAATGTTTTAGCATTTAAATTAATCACAGATACAGGCGTTTTCACACTCTGTGGTAATGAGGGAGACAGAGGTAGTCTGGAGAAGGTGCTAAGTATCCTGACTGGTGTGCGAATGTGAGGATTTCATCCTCTCTGTATGTTATAGGTAACGTCTGTCAGATTTTTAGAAATATCGAAGAGCAATATTTTGATATATTGAGACCTAGTTTGAATCTGGAGACATTTCCAGATTCATTTCACCCTGAGTTTTCATTTGTGGGTGAACTGTTTCTTAAAAAGGCAAAAATTACAGCAGTTTACTTACAAAACAAAACAATATAAATCTAGATTGGTAGCATAAGCTGAGTCAATGCTTGATCTTTCGATTCTGACATTTGTTCGCCAACTGTGTGAGTCGGTGTGCATCAAAACCTAAGCAAAGCTGCACAATTCTCCCACTTCCTTCTTTCTCCATATCAAATTCTAAGATGGAAGTTGTTCTGTCCCTTGGAGAGTCCTTGCATTGAGCTCCACTTTACAGAAATTGGCCTCTGCGCCATCAAAGCCCAGCCGAAGACTGCAGGCGGCGGGTGACATTTTGATTGAGATATCTTGCCTCTGATAACATGCAAATTCCAGCGCGGCGACATGAACTGAGCCGGCAGACTTTATTTTTACTCTCCCTCCCTTTCGCTCTTTCTCACCGCTCTGTTACTCAGCGCGTGATGCTATCTATTACATTATGGCATCTGTATGCATTCAGTGACTGCGGCGGCGTTTTAATAAAGGCACATCACTTTCTGTCCTGTGGGCTGGTCTCAGCGCGTAATCAAACCTCACAGACTTGCATGGAAACAACACTGTCAGTCATTTCGTCAAATAAATACACTGTATATATTCATATGTTTCCTCTCTGCATATGAATGCACTGCTGTCTGCGAGGGATTTCGTAATTATTTAAATTTGCCGCGGCTTATTGCATGTACCAGATTCACATGTATTGAGAAGCTGACATGTGTCCACACATGCTGTGTCAATCTTACTTGTTATCAAGCTTGAGACATTTATTTCTTGATGTATTGTGACTATGCAGAATCCTCATATTAATAATTC